TCCTTTGGTTTAGAGGAATTTCATAGGAATTTTAGAGGATAGGATTCTTATAGAATTTTTTCCTTTAAAGCCCTTTGGTTTATAGGAATGGATTCCTATTCCTACATAGGATTGGTTCCTATCCTCCACATTTCATAGGAAAATAAAAAAGAGCATAGACTCAATGGAAAAATTCCTTTGGTGTCAATCAAATGACATCTTGTTTCATATTCCTACTCATAGGATTTGAGATACATGTCATCTCATTTCCTACAAGATTCCTATTCGTATGATAATCCTATCCTATGAACCAAAAGAGGCCTTGTATTATGAGACGAAGAAAGTAGTACACTTTTCTCACCGCCCCTCGTCGGCCAACAACATAGTATAAAAACGCATGCGTTTTATATGTCACTAATCGGATTGGTCGATCGTTCCATAGCCTCTACGGACTACGTACATGCGCAGATAAAAACACAACAGCGTTCAATCAGTCAACACCGGCGCCTATGAGCCTCGGAAATGCAAGAGCGACCTACTGTTCGCTTGTGTGCATGCCTTCCAACGCAAGAGTCCGTTGTTCATCCGTGGAATCTGGACACTCATCCCGTAGCCACTTGCGCAGCCAAACAATGTCCCCGATCGGAGTACGTACAAATTACTGGTCTGGTGGACATGGACAGCCGGTTAAAGCGTAGCCTGCGCAGCCGCCGCCTACCTAGGCCGATTAGGTTGCTCCTGCCGCCACATGCATCTTCTCCACCGGTTCATCGTCGCCTTCCTCTTCTTCTGTCGGCTCCGTTGGTGTGAGAGAGTGCGGGTAACAGGCTAACAGCATGGTCAGTAACCAACAGCCGACCATATGAAATGATCGCGTTATATATAGCAAACCTGATAGCTCATTAATATAATACTTAGTCGTGGTTTATCTTTTTCTCCCACAAAGTGTGTTGGAGTATGTGCTACAGCCGGCTGTCATCTTTCATTTTGCTTCTCTTCTCTCCCTTTTTTCTCTTCAGCTAGGCAAAAATCTGATGTGACGCCTCTTATAGACAAAAATCATTCTATTCTATTGTACTACTTGTTCTAGGCAAAAAAAAACATTATTTTGGGGAAATACCCTTTGTCTCTCATGTGTAGCCAGGGCATCTCCAAGGTGTACCTTCAAATCTCCCGTGTATGTCCGGACCACTTTTGCCACCCAACCGAGTCCTTAAAGTGTCTACCGACCAGTCCGAAATCTGGTATATTGGAAGCAAATTTGTGGCAAGTTTGGGAGCATTCTGACATCATCAATGAAAAGCAACCACACGGTCATCCTCTCTTTCTCACTCCTCTCAATCGCACATATCCAACCAAAAGCAACAACATGCATGATCTCCCTCTCTCTCTCTTTCTCTCTCCTCCCAACGGACAAATAAGGATTATTAGTGAATAAGCGTTCGATGGCTCTCTCTCGCACCATCTTTGGCAGACTGGTCTCCACCGGTTCGTGGACGGATACGGTGTCCGATTTAGGGGGTCTGAGTTGAACATGCCCTTACATCCTATATGAAAAAATTTAAATCAAGAAAAGGTGAAAAAAAATCAGAAATAAACTTGACCTTCGGTTGTACTTGTATTAAAAGTTTTGCTAAGAAAAAACTCCTGACGACTTCAAGGCGAGAACATAAAATTTTGAGGATAGAAAATGTGAATACAAGCGTGTATATAGTGTTGATTTTTTTTTTCTCACCGAGAATACCGCGGAAGTCATTCCTCAGTGATTTTTTATGCAAATAAAACATATGGTCAAATTTGCTTCTCAAAAAGTCATTCACCGGCTTCTTATACTGCTCTGATGACACGTGAGATGCTGGAACCCACTGTGAGATCACATGAACATATATATCACTGATGCCCGTCGCTTCTCCTCCGGCTTCAGTGGTGTGTGCACCCTGGATCTGCCGACGAGATCAGGTGAACATTTTTTCCTTTCCCTCAGTGCCCAACACATTGATGCGTGTGGCGGCAGGGGGGGGGGGGCTTCGTTGGGCTAATGGTGCTTCGTCTTCGTTTTTGGGTCGTCGATCCTTCGGGATCAATGTAGTCGAGACTTCACAGCAGAGATCAGTGATTTACCGGCTGCCTGTGTGGATACACGTTTATTGTTCCAGTGATGGCGCAAAACTCCAGCGGCAGCAAACTTCAGCGCATCCTCGGCATGTACCAGATGAAGGATAACCTGAGGAGTCAATTATATTTCCATTTCCTTTTGGATATTTCTTATAATGCTGATGTTTGATTAATACATGGGTACAACTCATTTATAGAAGAAAAAAAATCTAGCAATTATTTTGATTTCGGAGTGGTAAAGCGTCTGCATCTTTTTTAGGAAAAAACACTATTTTGTAGTACGTGAGAAAACCCATTGTAGGTTTTACCACATGCTTTTGTTCTTTGGTAATATTTTATTGAATTGTTATGATATTTACCAAAATGTCACAGTTGCTTTCACAACTTTTTTGAGAGATTTCATTTTCATTGAAGAGAAGCGTCTCATTTTGTCGTTTTGGCCGTTTTTTTCCAATCACATATTCCACTAGACTTGTCGTTGTTTCTTGATGTTCCTTTTCCTCTATTAGTCAATATGTACGTGCAATGCACGTTAATTTGGAAGTATATTAAGTGTATCCGGATATTAAATAAGATATTACTTGCGTGTTATTATATGATTAGCACTATAATTGGCATGAAATTAACTGCACGCTAAACGTGTTGAGCGCTCGACACTAAAGCAGCCTAAGTCGTTGGATTGACATGATTTGATGGTTGAGATTAATTGGATCTGCCCCTTTGTGTCTTTTTATATTGGTATAGGTGAATTTGTTGAAAGATTAAATATTTTGGTTATTTTGTGATCTCGGCGAAATTATCTTTTCTTGGAGTGAGACATGCGAATAAAAAAATCTTTGAACCCTCATGAAATGACTTATCTATACCAATATAAAAAGACCCAAAGGGGCAGATCCAACTGATCTCAGTCATCGAACTAAGTTAATCCAACGATCTAGACTGCTCCAATGGCGAGCGTTAAACGTGTTTACCATGCAATTAATATCATACCAAATATCACACTAATCACAGGATTAACACACAAATAATAGCAGACCTAAAATCCATGTGCAATTAATATATTGCCTAAATATTTAACGTGCATTGCACGTGCGCATTTACTAGTATAAATACAAACTCAATAACTGTCAAAAAACAATATTTTGTTGATCTTACGATTTGATGTTTGTCATGAAACATGCGAATAAAAGATCTTTGAACCCTCATGAAATGACGTGTATAAATACAAACTCAATAATTATCAAAAAAATAATGATTTGTTGATCTTATGATTTTAATGCTTGTCGTGAAACAATGCGGAGAGAGGGGTGGTGCTCGAAGCACTCTCTTAGGCGATGATTGATCGATGGTGATGCGGTGGCTTTACCTAGGTCCAAGCCCCTGTATGGGTAATAGCTCTTGCCTATCTATCTTTATTGTTGAATATAGAGGATTACAATGGCATTTTCGTATCTACTGAGCTAGGGTGTGGGAATAAGCTCCCAAGTATCTTCTGCCCCATGAGGGAGCTTGTGCCGCCCTTATGTAACCGACCCTAGGTTGATAGTTCAATACCGATCTTCAAAAGATATGATATAACCAAGTGATCATGCAGTAATGAGGTGCAAATCTCCCAGCAACCATACAATCCCTAAAGTAGGTCCCCTAGCCCTTATTACCCCTTACGAGAGTCTATTGTGATGGAGTGTGGTGCGGAACACGAAAGCCCTTAGACACCTAGGCCGGTAATAAGGTTTATCTGCCCTTGTGCCGCCTCTCTCTTCGAGTGAGGATCCCTACTCACCGACAAAGATGCTAACTATGTACTTCCTTTGTTTCAAATTACTCGTCGGAAAAATGGATGTATTTAGAACTAAAATACATCTAGATACATCCATACATGCAACAAGTAATTTGGAACGGAGGGAGTACCATGCACTCTGATCATCATATGGTTTTTAATCTGTAAAAACACATGCCGTAGACATATCTACCGTAAAATGTTAGGAGGGCACACAAACAAGGAATAAAAATAGATATATGCTTTCAACAAAATATACAAATGATCCGATTTTTCAAAACTATAAACATAAACATTCTCTTTTCGGGGGAAAGATGTAAATATTTCTAGATAATTTTCTTGAGGAAAATAAATATCTTCAGTGGAAAATCTGGAACACGAAAATTGAAATGCTTGAGCAGCACCAAAAAAAAGATATGGACGTCGGGAGCCAAGAGAGGGATAATGTTCCGAGACCAAGACTGTCCGTGTCATTTGTTCCGCTCGGCCGGCAACAGGAAACACACAAGCAACAACCCAGGCGTAGCATAGTTTACACAATTAACTTTCTTCCAAGAAAGATATACATCGAACTGGGACACGTCAGATCGTCCACGATATCGTAGCAGCTGGACCATACCGTGCAATCTTCCACACAAAGAAACGGAGACCTCACCGGAAAAGGCGTAATTTTAGGCGTACAGAGTCGAAGAAACATGTGAATTCTCCAGCGACTGGGCTTCTTCCCCGAATGGGAATGGGCCGCGTGTGGATGTCGTGTCGCCGGCCACGCACGTCTCGCCCTCCTCCCGACCGACTATATAAACCCCTCCTCTCCCCATCGCCTCCCTCCCTCCCTTCATCTCCCTCTCCGGCGAGGGCACCGCACCATCTTATCATATCATTAGATTAGTGCTACTAGTTTCAATTACCCGCACGCAAAGCTCTCCCTATCACTCTTATCATATACCATCGTCCGGTATCTATCGAAGCAAGGTACGCGTTCTCCTTGATTGGTCAGCATCTCTATCTGTGAATGATTCGTCTGAATTTTGCTTTGGTCGTTTGCTGGATGCTGACGCCGGCCGTTTCAGCTTGCTGTTCTTGTGCTGCAGAAGGGGCGGTCCTTTGAATTTGGTTATCCGAGATGACGGTGACACCGCAAATCACGGTGAGCGACGGGAGGCTGGAGGTCCGCGGCCGGACGGTGCTCTCCGGCGTGCCGGACAACATCACCGCAGCGCATGCTGCCGGGGCCGGGCTCGTCGACGGGGCCTTCGTGGGTGCCACGGCCGGCGAGGCCAAGAGCCACCACGTCTTCACCTTCGGGACTCTCCGGTCAGTATTCTTTGTCCGTGTCTGTTGAGGAAAAGAGATAGTGGTGGATAAATGCGGGGAAGGTGGATGAACACCTGGGCAAACTCTGGAATGCACCATGGATTTCTGACCTTTTTTTTTCTCCTATCAATTGTTTTTTGAGGATTTCTGTCAAATTTTAGGAAGTTGATTTCTGAGCAGTTCCAGTTTTCATTAGTTCATTTCTTCTAAAAAAACCATACTCCAGTTTTCTTTATGAATTTTGTTACAGCAGTTTATTTTTGGCATAGCTTTTCGACTGAGGTTAATTTACATTTCGCTGGAAAAATTGTTGATGCTGCAGCGATTGCCGGTTCATGTGCCTGTTCCGGTTCAAGCTGTGGTGGATGACGCAGCGGATGGGCACCTCCGGCCGCGACGTCCCGCTGGAGACCCAATTCATCCTCATCGAGGTCCCTGCCGCCGCCGGCAACGACGACGGCGACAGCGAGCCGGTGTACCTGGTGATGCTGCCGCTGCTGGAGGGGCAGTTCCGCACGGTGCTCCAGGGCAACGACCAAGACCAGCTCCATATCTGCATCGAGAGCGGTAATGATCAGGAGCTCTTTTTTGTCACCAGATTAGTTGATGTGTGGTTGTGTTTGCACTGGAGCCGTTGCTGAATTCAGTTGTGTGTGTGGGTGAGAGCAGGGGACAAAGCGGTGCAGACGGAGCAGGGCATGAACAGTTTGTACATCCACGCCGGCACCAACCCCTTCGACACCATCACCCAGGCCGTCAAGTACATACGTCCTCCTCTTCTTCCTCCGTCTCTGACTCAAATCAAAATCTAAACTGACACGTTAAAATGTTCCTTATCTGGAATGCAGGGCCGTTGAGAAGCACATGCAGACATTCCACCACAGGGAGAAGAAAAAGGTCCGTACAATTTCTATCATGTTCAACCAGATTGATTTGGACGCGTCCGTGGACGTTTGAGGACCGAATTTGATGTATGCGGTTTTAGATGCTCTGAGTCCACCGCTTGTATCTGATTGGTTTGTGTGCTTGGGGATTGGCCTATGCAGCTGCCGTCGTTTGTGGACTGGTTCGGGTGGTGCACGTGGGACGCCTTCTACACGGACGTGACGGCCGACGGTGTCAAGCAGGGCCTCCGCAGCCTGGCGGAGGGCGGCGTGCCACCGCGGTTCCTCATCATCGACGACGGCTGGCAGCAGATCGGCAGCGAGAACAAGGAGGACCCCGGCGTCGCCGTCCAGGAAGGGGCGCAGTTCGCGAGCAGGCTCACCGGCATCAAGGAGAACACCAAGTTCCAGAGCGAGCATGACCAGGACGACACCCCGGGGCTGAAGCGGCTGGTGGAGGAGACCAAGAAGGGGCACGGCGTCAAGAGCGTCTACGTCTGGCACGCCATGGCCGGCTACTGGGGCGGCGTCAAGCCGTCGGCGGCCGGGATGGAGCACTACGAGTCCGCGCTGGCCTACCCGGTGCAGTCGCCGGGCGTCACCGGCAACCAGCCGGACATCGTCATGGACTCGCTCTCCGTGCTCGGCCTCGGCCTCGTGCACCCGCGCAAGGTCTACAACTTCTACGACGAGCTCCACGCCTACCTGGCCGCCTGCGGCGTCGACGGCGTCAAGGTGGACGTGCAGAACATCGTGGAGACCCTCGGTGCCGGGCACGGCGGCCGCGTCGCGCTCACCCGCGCCTACCACCGCGCGCTCGAGGCCTCCGTCGCCCGCAACTTCCCGGATAATGGTTGTATCTCATGCATGTGCCACAACACCGACATGCTCTACAGCGCCAAGCAGACCGCCGTCGTGCGCGCCTCCGACGACTTCTACCCGCGCGACCCCGCGTCGCACACCGTCCACATCTCCTCCGTGGCTTACAACACGCTCTTCCTCGGCGAGTTCATGCAGCCCGACTGGGACATGTTTCATGTACAGTAATTCTTCTCTTTCTTTCTTTCCTTCCTTCTCGAGTTTAATTAATTTTTCACTGTTTGATCTGACTTTTGACCGATGGATGGTACAGAGCCTGCACCCGGCGGCGGAGTACCACGGCGCGGCGAGGGCCATCGGCGGCTGCCCGATTTATGTCAGCGACAAGCCGGGGAACCACAACTTCGACCTCCTCAAGAAGCTGGTTCTCCCCGACGGCTCCGTGCTCCGCGCGCAGCTCCCCGGCAGGCCCACGCGCGACTGCCTCTTCTCCGACCCGGCGCGCGACGGTGCCAGGTGCTCACCATCATCCTTCAAAGAAATCCTCCCTCTCACTCACGTGAATGGAACTCTCCTAGTAGATTCTATCTCAGTGCCGCTGACATGTGATCCCCTGCTTTTTTCTCTCAGCCTGCTCAAGATATGGAACATGAACAAGTGCGCCGGCGTGGTGGGGGTGTTCAACTGCCAGGGCGCGGGGTGGTGCCGCATCGTCAAAAAGACAAGGATCCACGACGAGGCACCCGGGACGCTCACCGGCTCGGTGCGCGCCGAGGACGTGGAGGGCATCGCCCAGGCCGCCGGGACCGATGACTGCACCGGCGACGCCGTGGTGTACGCGTACCGAGCAGGGGAGCTCGTGAGGCTGCCCCGGGGCGCCACCCTGCCGGTGACGCTCAAGAGGCTTGAGTACGAGTTGTTCCACGTATGCCCCATCCGCACCGTGGCGCCGGACGTCTCGTTCGCGCCTATCGGGCTGCTCCACATGTTCAACGCTGGCGGCGCCGTCGAGGAATGCACCGTTAGGCCGGACGAGGATGACAAGGCCGTTGTGTCCCTCAGGGTGCGCGGCTGCGGCCTGTTCGGCGCGTACTGCTCGCGGAGGCCGGTGAAATGTTCCCTCGACTCGGGCGACGTGGGGTTCGGCTACGACGCCGACACTGGGCTCGTCACGGTAGACGTGCCGGTCCCGGAGAAGGAGATGTACCGGTGGGCGCTTGAGATTCGGGTCTAGGTTGCGGTGGTCGTGGTCATGGCCTCACGGGGAGGCTGAGGTGATCCTAGCCGTTAGATTATTTATTTCCATTGTTGGTGCTTACAGCTTAAGAGACATTGATCGAGAGATGAGAGATTGTCATGTAGAGAGATTATGCTTTGCTCTATCACTGTGGCAAATGCAATAATGTATCCCTTCTGTACTATCATTAGAATTTGAATGAATGCAATAAAGGATATGGTGCTCCTTGTAAATCGGTGACATCGATGATCTCACTAATTCTAATTCTCACAACATACAATTATGCCAACTTACCATACCCTCATACATGAAAAACACACACCTTGGTTTTTCAGTAAATGATTTGCAGATAAGACAGGGCAAAGACAAAATGCCAAAGAACAACAATAAAATTGCAATAGTTACATTAGGGTTATTTGAAATCATTGTCCTTGAATTTCACCTTTTGCATCTCCATTTTCCTCCGCTCACTGAAGTTTTTTTTTTGCCTCAAGTTACATTAGAGGAAAAAACAATTGTGCAAGATGAGGCAAGTTTTTTTTTTACCTCAAGTGCATTCCCCCATAGTTTTTTTAGTGAGCGGTCCTTGACCGAACAAATAAAAACAAAGATGCACATGAAAGATACATCACACGAGCATAGTTTTTTTAGATTTCAAAAAAAAAGAGAATCATTTTTAGTTGCACCTTCTGCATCTAAACCTCTTTTCTTCCTCAATTTGCTGAAAATATGAAACGCGAACAAGTGTGCCAGCATGGTGTGGTTATTCAACTGCAAGGGCATGGGGTGGTGCCGCGTCACTAGAAAGGCAAGGATCCACAACGACGGGACACCCGATCTCTGTATATTAGGATGCACACAACCAACAGTAACAAGTCCAACAAAAAAAAATAAAGCGACATAATTTATTACCTCAAGTGCACTCATGTCGATCCATAGTTTTTTTAGTGAGATCCATCTAAGGGAGAGAAAACTTCATATATGCATTGCGGGTTGCTTCAGCAATCTCTAACTATAAGTATAGATGTACACTTCACATTTGCATTGCGAGAAGCACAAAGTTTACACCTATTGGTCGTATTCAAAAATAAATTACTCCATGTTCATTTATTTTCAATAACATTTCCAATTCATAGCATTTTCTTTTGAGTATTTCCAAAAGAATTTTCAATCATTTAGGGTATTTCCAATTCATTACATATGCTTAGTATGAGCTCACATTTTTTGTTGTTATTGGAAAATAGCTCACCTCAATCAATCAGCATGACGGTAAACTTGCGAACCAACCTGTGGTCGGATGATTAGAGGGACTGTGGTATCCCCAGCCCACCAGGGTTCAAATCCTGGTGCTCGCATTTATTCCTGTATTTATTTTAGAATTTTCGGCGATGCGCATTCAGTGGGAGGAGACGGTTACTTCGTAAATCTCAAGATGATATGCCGGCTCAGTCTTTCGAATGTGCTCATAGGAGTAAGGTGTGTGTGTGTGCGTTCATAGAGGTGAGTGTATGCGCGTGTATATGAGCGTTTGTGTCTGTACTGGTGTTCAAAAAAAAAAGCACGACGATAAACTTGATTTTTTTGGGGTCGGTAAACTTGATACTAATGCGAAGTTTAAGGAAAAAAACTTGATACTAATGCGAAGGCCCATTATTCTCGTTACGTTGTTGGGTCACGTCAAGAAATAAGTCTGCCCACTCGCGGCCCACTGCACGGCTGGGGAAGCCCATGGCTCGTCGATTCCTGTTATTGGGCGACGACAGATTTTTCTGCTTGTTTGTCTCAAGAAAAAAAAAGATTTCATTTTTTGCTGGTTGCAGCCCTCGCATGCACTGCATTTTTTTTACATAAAGGTCCTTGTTTGCTCTATTTCCAATCAAAAAGTTCTTTTAGAGCTGCCATTTCAAGCTACGACGACGGCCACGCAGCCCCCGTTATTCGGCATCGCAGATATCACGTCCATAATTAACCTTCTGGGACCTGTTTTCTCTTTGATTTATTATCCGATAGTGTTCTTTGTCAGCAGGAAACCGTAGAAATGGGTGGTTGGTGCCTTGTCCCGCTCGACTTATCGTGTCTTGCTCACCAAACTAGGTTTACCGCGACGTTGATGAGAGTGCGTGCTACGCTACGTGTCTGTGTTCGATGTTTAGACTGAGCTGATGAGAGTGCGTGCGGCGCTCAACTGCCGCATGTCTTCATGCAATGCTGGCAAAATGTACAGATAAGGCGGGCGGTTGTGCACCAGGCTAGCTTTCAGTTGCATGCATTCATATCCCAGTTGATCAATCTGTGCTGGATCATTATTCCACGTACGCCATTCTTTTCCAACCATATATTCCTTTGTATACACATGTATTTATTTTATCCTTTGTATACACATTATTCCTTATACGTATTTATATATATACACGCACACACAAACAAACAATAACCCCACAAATTAGGAGATACAACATACACCACAGTAATGTAGTAGTGCATGTATATGCATGTTTTGCCATGCAATGCATATGCACGTAGGACTTGTGCGAGCATCGGTATAGGTACGTACGTAGCCCTAGCGGGCATCGTCTTGCCTCTTGTAAACCCTCACCTTCAGCCCGTCCTTCATGTGGAGTATGATGGACAGCTTGGGCCTCACCACCGCACCCGCGGCGACCTCCACCCGGAACCGCGGCAGCACGGCGGCCACCACGGCCTTCATCTGCGTGAACGCCAGGTCCTTGCCCAGGCACGTCCGGGGCCCCACGTTGAACGCCACGAACTTGTACGACGGCTCGTGCCGGAGCCGCCCCGCCTCCGTCAGCCACCGCTCCGGCCGGAACTCCAGGCAGTCCTTGCCCCACACCGACTCCATGCGTCCCATCGAGTAGAAAGACACGATCACCCTCCTCGTAGGCCGCACGGCCGGCCCGCTCGGCAGCGTGTCCGGCCGCGCTCCCGCCTTGTGCTCGAACGGCACGGGCGGGTACAGCCGGAGCGACTCCGACAGGGCCGCGTGCAGGTACACCAGCCGCTTCAGATCGGCGGCGGTAGGGTGGCCGCCAGACGACAGGTTCTCACGGAGCTCGGCGAGGATCTTGGCCTCGACGTCGGGGTGGTTGGTGAGCAGCCAGAAGAACCATGTCAGGGCGGAGCTCGTCGTGTCGCGGCCGGCGACCATGAGGTTCAGCGTCGTGTCGCGCAAGAACCGCTCGAACTCCTTTCCGTCCTTGCCTACCTCGTCTTGGCATGCCATGTACAACGTGAGAAGATCAGCCTCAGCGGCGTCGGCTCCGTCGGCGTTGCTGTCGGCACTGCTGGCCGCGCGCTCTCGCCGTAGCGAGACGAACTCGGCGATGGACGCGTCCAGCACCTGCTGAGCCTTGGTCATCTTCTTGTGATGCCCGATGTTTAGGTAGGTCTGGAGCCTCAGCCAGGCAATGGGCGTCACGTGCCTGTAGAACAGCACCGCCTCGGCCTCGTCCATGGCCGCGGCGAACGGCACTCGCGGGAAGTCGGCGGCCAGGCAGCCGGGATCCGTACCGAATATGAACATCGCCGTGAGGTCGAACGTCAGGCGCATGAACACGTCCTGCAGGTCGACGACCGCGCCGCCGGCAGCGACGCCGTCGAGGAGCGGCACGAGCCCCTCGTCGAGCTTGCGCGCGGTGCTCGCGGCCACGGCGGCGCGGAACATCGCGTCCGAGAGCAGCGCGTGCGCCTTGCGCCGCTGGAACGCCCACGAATCCCCGTCGGCGTTGAAGATGCCGTTGCCGAGCACGTCGAACAGGGCCGCGAACTCCTCGCCCTTGGGGTAGTTGCCGAAGTTGGTCGTGAAGACATGCGCCACGTCCGCCGGGTTGGCCGTGAGAAGTATGTCCACGGGCGAGCCCCACGGGCCCCTGGCGACGTGCGACATCCCCGGCGCCACGCGCAGGAACTCGGTGAGCCACTCGTGCACGCGGCCGGCGTTGACGGTGATCGCCGGCACCGAGCCGACCACCGGCCAGTTCGTCGGCAGCCCGTCCCGCCGGCGGAACCTGAAGAAGAGCAGGAACAAGAAGCAAGCGAACGACACCACGATCTCCGGGTACTTGCCGAGGAAGCCTCGAAGCCACCATGACACCGCCTCCATTTCTTTTGCGTTTGTTTACGCTATAGCCGGTGAAGTGTTCTTGTACAAGTGATCCAGCTGCAGAGCTAGCTAGGCTTATTATATAGTGGAAAGGTGAGGGGTTTGGGTTTAGGTGTAGACATTTGGCTGATAAGGGAGGTGGATGAGTAAACTCTTATTTCTACCAAAGAGGCCATATTGAATCAATTAAATCACCATCTATACTTTAAGGTTGCAATTGAATTGACTGCCCTCCAAATCTTTCTTTCCGGTCGACCGGTCGACGTCATCAAAGGGCCACCATGGATATCGCCTCATACATATACATCTCTTTCAACGTAGATGCCGGGATGCATTCTTTTTATGCGTCTTTTCTGCACTCACGCGATGGCTAGAGCGGGTCATTGTTGATATTATTTTTGATGTCTCTTTTTGCACTCACGCAGGATTTGGTGTCCATCCAACGGAAATCAACCTGCAAAAAGTTCCCATAAAGTGGGACTCATCTGTCATTGGGTCATAGCTTTTTCCGCAATTCCCTCAACTCGGTATGAGGGGAAGGAGGCGAGGCGGTTTGGCGTCGAACCCGGCAGCACATTGTCTGATTTGGGCCAAGAAAGAGCACGCAGATTCCTTAGCTCTGGCGGCGCTCCTCACAGATCTAGACCTCGTCGTCGAGATCTGGGCGGTCTACGCATCCGTGCAGAGTGCCCACACAACCGAGCACGAGCGCTGGATCTACATCAGGGACATGCGGCGAGCTGTAGTCTTCGCGGATGACACAACCGACAAGGAGGACGATGAGGCCGCCGCTCATCTGTGGCCTCCGGGTATGCCGGGATGCCATGGATTCAGCCCGCCATTAGTGAGCTTCGAGGTTATCGGCCTGATCTCCGAC